TCCTAACAGATAAAAAATAATCTCAGTGCAGAATCTAGTAAATATGATTATGTAGTACTTATGTATACATAATCACACACAATTGTATATATACATTATGTATTTTAATATATAATTATATATATATATATATATATATATATATATATATATATATATATAAAATTTAATGGAGGCTAAATTGTCCTTAGTGTCCCACCAAAAGAAATCTTAATAAATAATAACATATAAATAATAACTTAATAAATAATAGAAGAAAGCTAAAGATAAATAGGTGTGAAATGGGTTTTATATGGTAAATGAAGTTTGGTTTTTTTTCCCCCTTGAATACCACTCATTCAGTGAGAACAAAATCTCATTTTAAAATCCAGTGTATAAGCTCATGGTAATTTCTGTGTTGACAGTCCTGTCATCAGCAATCAGAACAACAATTCTCAACCTGTGGGGTGAGACCCCCTTGGGGGTCACATATGCATATCCTGCATATTGGATATTTACATTACAATTCATACCAGTAGCAAAATTACAGTGATGAAGTAGCAATGAAGTAATTTTATGGTTGGGGGTCACCACAACATGAGGAACTCTGTTAAAGGGTCGCAGCATTAGGATGGTTAAGAACCATTGATTTAGAAATATGTAGGAGGTATTCTACAAGGAAAAAAAACATGGAATAGTGCTGTGGGATGGTCTGTATGTCAAATGTGTTGCTGATTGGTCAATGAATAAATCACTGATTGGCCCGTGGCCAGGCAGGAAGTGGAGGCGGGACAAGGAGGAGAATAGAGCTGGGAAGTGGAAGGCTGAGTCAGGGAGACACTGCCAGCCGCCATGATGACAAGCCGCATGTGAAGATGCCGATAAGCCACAAGCCATGTGGCAAGGTATAGATTAATGGAAATGGATTAATTTAAGCTGTAAGAACAGTTAGCAAGAAGCCTGCCATGGCCATACAGTTTGTAACCAATATAAGTCTCTGTGTTTACTTGGTCGGGTTTGAGTGGCTGTGGGACTGGCGGGTGTCAGAGATTTGTCCTGACTGTGGGCCAGTCAGGAAAACTTTAGCTACAGAATATTAAAAAAGTGTAGTGCGTGGAAACTCTGAAGGACAGAGACACCAAAGTTGTACTCAAAAACAGCATGTTGTAAATAGAAGCACAACCACAAAAAACAAGTGATCAATGTTTATGACTTTTTAGTAGTCTTGAGGACAAATCATCACATATTCCTAAAATAAATTGCTGATATTTTCAAGAATATTATCATATATAAATATTCTATGGAGGTGTCAAAGACTGGCCACATTATCACTGAAGATGCTAAAATATCTTTCAGTTTCAAACCTCATTTCTGTACAGTCAGCTATTCTGGTATCAAACTTGGTTACCTGGGATGTGACTTTGGGAACTAGATGGTTCATGGTATGACTGTGTCTGTAATGGGACAGCATCTTCAGACCAGATGGGACACTGGGTTGGTACTTTAGAAACTGTTATTTCACTTTTTTTTTTTAACTGGAAGGTACTGGACCTTTGGTCTCTGCTACAGAGTTAGGATCTAAGACAGTTGAGAGAATGATCCATTAGAGAAATCCAGGGTCTCTGAGGTTTCGTTGTATCTAATCCATCTCCCACTTATAGTGAGCCGAGAAGATGAATTATACACTTTACAAGCTTGTTGGCATAAGATTTAGGAGCTGTCAGTGTACATACAGCTGTTCAATAGTAATTTAAAGTTATTTCATAAATATTGAATATTTTACCACAACAGTTATTTCTCCTTTCATTCTCAAGATAGTAATTTTTCATCTGAAATTTCTGCAGTATATTTCACATTGGGAAATATCTCTATAATCATTTTCCATTAAGTGTGTTTAATGTGGCATTGCAATGTGGTCCTAACTTTAGTCATATATCTTATTGTTCATCCTTCTTATAGCATTTGTGATGAAGGCAATTGTTTTTCTTCTGAGGATACAATTTATTCTTATTAAGTCAATGAAAAATAAATATTATAGCTAAAGTTCAAGAGACAGAGAACTACAGCTGGTCTTTCCCAGTGGCTCATTTACTGACTTCCAGTCCCCAGAAACCTATCAATCATCACTGAAGGTGGTACAAGGCATTTAATACGACATAAGCCTTGCTAAAGTCTTAATAAAAATTATATTGATGTGAGCTCTACTTTACAGCAATGATTTTTGAATTTGATAACCCCTGATTTCTAGTCATTAATAGTCATGAAATTAATTTATTTGGCCATGTGACCTCTAGTTAATACCAATATCATTCTAAATTATTATAAGGAAATGTATATCAAGTAGCTCAATGAAGCATCATATTGTAACACTGAACCAAAGTCTAGTAATCTTATTAGAAAGTCCTTAGTACTTATTCTCTTTTGACTAGTTGTCTTAATGTAGGATATACATAATATCATCTACTTATTTATTCAGAGAGTTTGACTTTTTTTCAACAGTTCATGGAATGATATGTCCCCATTTTAATGGCCTTCTTGAAAAAATGCATAATTATTAAACCACAACTCTCACAAATCCTTTATATTTATCTGAAGTTGTATTATCTGATACCATATTCAGTGATTAATTTGTATTTTAGACTTCAATTTTATCTTGCATAGTTAATTTATAAATTGCTATTTGTAATTGAAACATTTTGTGAATAATTAATGTTCTTTCTCCAAATTACATAGTTGATAAAGTTTATCACGAAAGCAATGCTAACCTGTGATTTTCCTTTATAAAAGTTTTCTTTTTTGATCCAAATTTAATTTTAAGTGATTTATTGTTTTGAGATTTCTGTGTGTTGTTTCAGTTTTAATCAACCATTTTTGATAAATTTACAAATTATTGCATGCAATAAGTATATTTCAACAAACAAATCATTAAAGACGACTTGATTTTTGTCTCTTTCAGTGTTAAGAGAACCTTTGTGGGCCTGGGGAGATGACCAGTTGGAGAATGCTTACTATGCAAACATGAAGACCTGAAATTGGATCCTCTGCACTAACATTAGAAGCATAACATGGTGGTCCACATCTACAATCTTAGTGCTAGTGGCAGGGAACTACAGTAGTATTCTTGGGACTCACCAGCCAGACACCCTAGCCAATCATTGAGTTCTATGAGAGACCCTCTCTCAAAAATAAGATGGAAAGTGATTGAAAAGAATCCTTGATGGCAATTTCTGGCCTCAGTGCCCAAGGGTGGACACACACACACATACACACACACACACACACACACACACACACACACACACACACACACACACACAAATAAAATAATGAACTTTCAAAGATAATTTTGAAAACCAAGGCTAATGTTTTTACTATTGAATTCATTTGGTCTATGGTGGGCTCATTAATAATACTTTTCAGTGATTGAAAGTATGTAAATAACTAGTCAATTGATAAAGCTCAATGGAATCTCAAATTCCAGTTTCTATCCTTAGTTTATGAGAACTGAGCTACTCATTACAGGAAATTTATTTTTGCTAAAACACAGTCTGAAAAAGGGAAAAAAAGCAGAACAAAGCAAAATAAAGTAACAGCAACAAAGAAACATGCAGAAAGTCATAAAAACAGATCATGTTTTTCAAAACCAAGTGAAAATAGAGGATCCACCTGAGATTAACGACAGAGATGGGCATTCTCAGGCCTGATTGCCTAACTGTGTTGTTAGCTGATCCTCTCATGGAGACACATCACAGTTTTTCACATATACTTATCAATTCTGGGTCATTTCACCACTATGTCTTGAAGCAACCTAAATTTAATATGTTTATGGAAAGCCTAGGATTTTTTACATAAATTTGTAAATGGTGTGTTGCTAAACTATTAACACTAAAGTTAGGGAGTAGGTCAAAGCTGCCTGCAAATACGTGGGCAGACCATGAACTACAGAGATTAGGGAGACAATTCAGGGCAAACTGAAGAGGGGATAGGAAAACAAAAGCACTGGCTGATGTAAGTGAAAGGAAGCCAAAGAGGAAACAGCATGGAACCATGAGCTTTCCACCTGCGTGTTCCTGCTGTGCATTGGGAGATACGGAAGAAGAAAGAAAGCTAAAGGAGTAATTAAAAGGGAAGTCACCTGTGCAAAGACGAAAATATCAAGGAAGAGATCAGCTGAGTGGGTGGAACGTGCAGGCAGGTACAACTCTGCAACTTGAGTAGGACTTTGAACAGTTTTAGATAGGAGTTCTGCAATTTGGAATAAAATCCAGGCTGACTGTGATAAGCTCGTTTAGAGGAAAAAAATCTCAAACTCTCAAATTCTGCAATTGCTTGTTTTATATTTTACAGTAAAAAGATCTGAAGCTGTTGTGAAACAAAACCATTACAAAGATTACTTACTTAAAATGCCAATTTTGAAACATTTTTCTTTTGTGCATCTAGGTCTAAAGTACAGACCAGGGGATGGAGTCTCTGTGAATGAGAGTGTTTTCATATCGCACAGATCCAGGCATTTGAGAAAGTGTTCTTGGTAGATAGGTTTGCTTTGTGATAAGTATGGGTTTTGACAACTGTGTGCTGAACAACTAGCCATGAGTATAGTTGGAGATGAAGTTATCAATTTGAGAGGTAACAGAGCAGAAATACCTAATTATGTATCCAAATATTCCCACTGCATGTAGATGATGTAATACTCTTGGTAATAAGTCATTTTATTCAGTGTTTGGTGGTGTGTGTGTATTTTGGCTAGTCAACCGTTTCTTCTCATGAAAGCAAAACAGTAAGTTCAAGGACATTCTAAATAGAGCATTAAGCAATGTCAAGTATTTTAATGAGCATGAGAGATGATAGCAGAGCAATGAGTTGCTACATTACAAGGAACATCTACAGTGACACAAAGGAAGGGTATGCGCATGACTTGTCACCTGCTCCTGCTAGAGTATAAAAACCTCTTCTGCACGGGATAATGCTCACATTCAAGATCCATCCTTGAACAACAAACCAAAACTACCACTCTTGATACCATGAGCTACTACGGCAGTTACTATGGAGGCCTGGGCTATGGCTACCGAGGTTTTGGGAACCTAGGTTATGGCTATGGCTGTGGATGTGGCTTTGGAGGCTATGGATATGGCTCTGGTTATGGAGGCTACGGTTATGGCTACCGCCGCCCACTTTACTATGGAGGATTTGGATTCTCCCGCTTCTACTGAAATGCTTTCCTGAGGAACCAAAATTTCAAATATAAGAAATTACCCCAACCTCATATAAGGACTAAATTAAGCAAATATGTTGTGAACAAAATCAAGAGGAAAACAATTGAAGATCTAAGACTTTAAGAATGCACACCATCTTATAATTCTCCATATTGTGCTCCCTTATTTCTCTCCTGTCATTTCTTAAATGTAGACATATTTTGATCCTTTGTAATAAATTATCCTAACTTATAACTGTGTATGAGACTCTTATATTAATGCATTTTGTAACATAGTTGTAATATACTTGACAAACTCTGTTCAGTGTTTATACTAACATCAGCTTACATAGGAAAGAATTATAAAATATGAAATGAGGGGCTGAGCAGATATCTCAGTAGTTGAGGTGGGTGAAAGAGTCCATTGCAAACTATTGAGACCTCAGTTTAAATTACTAGGACCTACATAAAAACCAGGTGCAGGGGCACATACCTGTAGTCACAGTGATGGGGTACGAGGTGGTCTGAAGAGAGGCTCTAGAGCTCTGGTTCTCATCCTGTGGGTCCTGACTCCTTTGGAGGGTTGAATGACTCACAGGGGTCACCTAAGACCATCAGAAAACACAGATATTTACATCATGATTCATAACAGTAGTAAAATTATAGTTATGTGGCAATGAAAGTAATTTTATGGTTGGGGGTCACCTGAACACAAGGAACTGTATTAAAGGACTGAAGCATCAGAAAGCTTGAGAACCACTGGTCTAGAGCTTGCTGGTCAACCTGCCTAGCTAAACCAAACCAAACCAAACCAAACCAAACCAAACCAAACCAAGCATAGCAAGGAAATGTAAGCTTCTGGTTCTGTGAGAAACCCTGTTCCAAGAGAATAAGGCAGATTGATAAGGTATGGTTATTAATGTCTTCTTCTGACCTCTGCATATGTGCAAATGAACAAATTCTCCAAATACACACACACAGGAAATGAATCACATGATGAAGTACAAATATCATAGTAGCATTTTATAGTTTTACTCAGTTGCCTGTGAATTAAATACTGCACTATACACTATATACACTACACTCTATATATTATGATAATTATGTACACACATAAACTTACTAGTAAACTATGGCACTGAATTCAAAGGAATGTTTTTAACAACATATTTGTATTACTTTTTTGATAGATTCTTACAATGTATTTTGATCATACTCATTCCAACTAGTTGTGCTGAATCCTCCCAGAACCATCCAACTCCATAATCCCCAATTTAAAAAAATATCCCAGAGACTAAAATTTGTGTTGTCTATCTACTTTGGATATGGGGCCAAGATAGCAAGATTGACTTACCAAGAACCAAACCCTTAAAGAACGATAAATCCCTCTTTCTTAGAAGCCATAATCTCTCCATAGCTTCTCAGTTAGACCTGGGACTCATGATCTCCTTCCCTATTCATGGTCTCATCTTGGTGGGATGGTGACTAGCTTGACCTTGTGGAGGCAACAACAGCTATTGGCAGCTCATGAATTAGAGGGTCTTGTCATGTCCCAAAACACAGTTTCTCTACAAATCTCTCTGAACTCTGGCTCCTACAATCTTTCCGCCCACTCTTTGCCTAGGTCCCCTGAAACTTGGAGTGAGTTTTGTAATATGAATGTCCTATTTCTGGCTGAGCCAATCCACTGATACTTATTCTGTACCTTGACTGGTTGAGCACAATGCAGAAATTGACCATTGAATAAAGAAAATCCTCTGATGAGATATGAGAGCTATACTAATCTATTTATGGTAGAGAAATACAAATTTAAAGAGATGTTTGATGAGTCCATTTAGCAGAAAGTAGTAGTAGGTTCATCCCTGGGACCTGTAAGCTTCCTAATCATGAGTTCTTAACTCCAAATTTACAGTATTAAGTATCGGTTTCCTGGTGTGGAATGGGTTTGAATTCTATCATGAAGTGGTTGGTTATCTCTGTAACATTTGTGCCATTATTGAGCCCATGAGCATAACTTGCCACACCAGCCATTATTACAGTTCACAGTTTTCATAATTGGGTAAGAATATTAAAGACTCTTTCTCCATCCCACATTGGGTATGAATATTAAAGACATAGAACCATCCACATGTTCTATAACCCATGTGTGTGGTGTCTTCAGCAATAGGGTCTTGTAATCAAGGTATGGTGGGCAATAGCAATGCCAGTAGCGTGAGTACACACACACACACACACACACACACACACACACACACACACACACAAACACATGCTGTGGGATGTTCTGTATGTTAAATGTGTTGATCTGATTGGTTAATAAATAAAATACTGATTGGCCAGTAGCCAGGCAGGAAGTATAGGCGGGACAAGGAGAGAGGAGAATTCTGGGAAGTGGAAGGCTGAGTCAGGAGATGCTGCCAGCTGCTGCCATGAGAAGATGTTAAAATACCAGTAAGCCACAAACCATGTGGCAACTTATAGATTAACAGAAATGGGTTAATTTAAGATATAAGAACAGCTAGGTAGAAGCCTGAGCCATTAGGCCAAACAGTTTAAATAATATAAGAGTCTGTGTGTTTATTTTATAAGTGGGCTGCGGGACTGCTGGAGCTTGGCGGGAGCTGGAGAGAAGCTCTCCAGCAACATACATATACAAACACACACACACACACACACACAAACACACACACAAACATGCACACACACATGTATACACACATACACATACACACATACACATACACACACACACATACAGGATTTTTTTTTTTTTTTTTTTTTTTTTTTTTTTTTGGTTTTTCGAGACAGGGTTTCTCTGTGTAGCTTTGCGCCTTTCCTGGAACTCACTTGGTAGCCCAGGCTGGCCTCGAACTCACAGAGATCCGCCTGGCTCTGCCTCCCGAGTGCTGGGATTAAAGGCGTGCGCCACCACCGCCCGGCTCAGGATTTTTTTTAAGAGAATGAAAGAGATCATAAAGTTGGGTGGTTGGGGGAGAGGGTGTGGGAAAAGTTGGGGAGGCATATAATTATGATTATAATGTAATGTATGAAATTTTCAAAGAATAAATAGAAACCTTATTTTAAAAATTTCAACACATTAAAATTCTATCTACTTTCATATACAACTTCAGACACACAGGATCAGTATACACATTTTGTTTAGCTAGATATATCTTTTTATTGTTTCAATGATAAGAAATATAATGTTAAAAAATAACTTTGAATATCTATTCAAAATAAATACTATTTGGCAAATTCATATCATGTTTTCTTCCTAATCTGAAGATGTGCAAATTGGTGGTATTCTTACAAATGATCAGCATCCAGAAATACTAAGCATGCTATCATGGAAAAGTTAGTGTCAGTGTTATCAACTTGTCCACATTGCTGCTATTGCTGGCCTGCAGCCTTATGACATTTGGCCAAATTTCTTGTAATGAGGAACTTTAGTTACCCATCAACCATAAAAAATGGGTATTTCTGGGATTTCTTTCACCTCCAGTTATGCATTTGCTAATATAAATGGGGCATAAAATATACCCATTTCCCAGAGAAAAAATATATGCATTTTGTTACAAAAATAAATTTAAATTTCTTTTATCTGATATTTAATAAGAGTAAGATAGGAATATGAGTTCTACTATGAAGCTGTTTGCTAAATATTTGTTTTGTACTGCTTTGGATAGGAAAGACTCTTCAAAGGGGCAAATACTTTGATGAAGATAAATCCAGATTAGAACCCCATTTCAGTGAGACCAATCACTCTGATCCTCTTGCTCATTAGTCTGATGATAGTGTAGTACACTCTTGTGCAGCCAAATGAAGTATGAGATGTTTACGACTGTATGTTTCTCTATAGGATTTACTTGGAGCTAGCTGGTCACATTTATTTATTACAATATTCTATCATAAAATCATGGGCTTCTTTACGGGAGAAAGCTACCTATAATGAGTGCCAACTCCAAAGTTTACTCTGAAAAATAAATTTGAAATAAAATGAAGTGTAATAAATAAATAAGTTAAAATAAAAATATATGTGAAAGACTTCGAATCATTTTCTGAACAACGCATTTCCTCCAGTAAAGGAAGACCTCCCTATTCAAGGTCACTATGGAGAACTGCACTAGTGTGTTTGACAAAGTCAGAGTTTCACATAAAACCATGTGATTCCTAAGTGGTTAATGGCATTACAGTCTGAGGAAACATTTTACATATCTAAACAGAATCAATATCGTTATTGATAGACAGCATTTGCTGCTCCTAGGATAATTGCATTTTATCATATTTATTCCACCAATTGTCAGATTGCATTGATTTAAGATTGAATTAAGCTGTAGGACACATTTCTTCTTTGAGAAAAGATTTCACCTGCCTTAGACATAAGGTATCATGGGATCGTCAGCCCACAAAGGAGTAAAGATCTGGCAGGTCACATCATTAAAACTTTTTGATTGATTTGTGATTTAGATAGGTTCTAACTGACTTGATGAGAATGAAATACTTGAGAATCAAATAAATACCTGTATATTTTAATCTTAAAATGCATTATAAAATGAGACAAGTCTGGAAGACACTATACAAAGAAGTGAAAATAGCACATGAGATGCAAAAGTCTATAAATCTAGACAAAAGTAATTGCATAAAATAAACATAATAATAATATATTGATATTATGATATTAAGCAATCACTTTAGAGGTCAGTGAGAACATTCAGTGGGTAAGAGTGTCTGTCACCAAGGCTGGCAGCCTGATTTTGATTCTTGGAAATCACACGGTGGAAAGAGCAAACTTATCCACAAGTTGTATTCTGATCTTGACTCACTGGTCATGGTATGTGCATTCTCTCTGTCTCTGTCTCTGTCTCTGTCTCTGTCTCTGTCTCTCTCTCTCTCTCTCTCTCTCACTTTTTTTTCATTTCACATACCAACCACAGTTCCCCCTCCCTCCTCTCCTCCTGCTCACCATGAACCTTCCCTCCACCTTACCCTGAAGAAATAAAATTAGTATTATGTTGTTGTTGCTAATGTTTTTAAAACTATTTGTCTGTTCACAATTGACATACTCTAAATATTTACAACACTTAGATCTCTTAAATAAACTCAGAAGAATCAAATAAATAACTTATTAAAGTGTCAAAAAATGAATGAATAAATAGGTAAATAATTATAGCAGCAAAATTAAAAGAAATAAATTTATTACATAGACATGATCTTAAAGTAACAATATCATGATAAAAAATAATTTTGTCAGAAAAAATTTTTACACAATCTCTCCATTAAAAAAACTTCTATAAATCAAGATAAGATATTCCAAAGCCAGCTAAAAAGGAATAAAATATTTGATCAGGGAATTCCAAAAATAGGATAGTCAAATGGTCATTAAGAAAATAAAATCATGTCTAATGAAGGTGTCCATGAGGTTCAATGGAAATCTTTGTCAGAGATACAGAGTGAGCACACGGTCCAATTTTGATGATTGCTGTCCAAGTTTCACTTCTGTTGATGTGATCCAATATTCTGACAAAAATCAACTTGGAGAAACAGTTTATTTTAGCTCACAGTTTTAGATTGCTCTCCGTCACTGCAGGGAAGTCAAGGTAGGAACTTGAGACAGCTGGCTACATCCACAGCCAGAAGGAGAGTATGAATACACATAGGCTTAACTCTCAGCTCACATTCTCTACTCTAACATAGTCCAGGATCCAACCAAAGGGAATTTTGGCACACATAATATTAGGCTGTGTCTTCCAACATCAATTGATATAATCAAGACATCCACAAAAAGAAGCCTTCAGTACCAACCTGACATGTACAATGGAAAAATGAGAGAACAGGAAAGCCAGACATAGAACCAAATGAAGCCATAGATTCAGTCATCACAAAAACCTTGAAAGGAACTATAATGACCTTCCTGAAAGACATGCCCACTGGTGCAAATATTGACATTTTAAATGAGTAATCAATCACCTTTTGATTAGATATAAGGCACACTCTATGAGATGGAACCCATATCTGATATTGTTAATGAAGCCAAGAATCTGGACTAGATAGGCATGGGCCCAGGAGAAAAAAGCATAGCTATTATTTTTTCTAAATTAACATTACAATAAAATGACTCCTTATGGCATACTGCTGTAACCATTTTCAGTGCATCACTCAACACTCAGTAAAGAAGCTTCTCCTTATAGTAGATGATAATTAATGGACAGCCACACAACTGGAAAATGTGTAGAGAATGAAGATATTAGAATGCTCATCCCTGAATGAGATGTCTTTATCAAGCCCATCCCCTGAAGGTTTATTGATCTACGCTGACTAGGGGACAGAAAGACTGTAAGAGGCAGAAGTGTTGGGTGATTTTAAGAAAACGATTTTATAGACATATCAGGATAGATGCACATATGAACTCATAGAGACTGTGACAGCATGCCTAAGACCTGTACAAGCTCAACTCAGACAAAATCCCAGCATGGTGGTGACAAAGTTGACATGATGCCCAACCTCTGGTCAAGAAGCTATTAACAAATTATTGCTGCTGGGAGAGGGAAATAAGTTTACTTTAATGGAATAACACTGGGCATACCAACCACACTTCAAGGTAGTCCTCATGCTCATGAATATTTGACTATCATAAACCAGATGCCATGGTTTTAAATGGCTTTTTATTTTTCTTTTAAGAGAGAGAAAGAACATGAAGTTGCATAGAGAGGGAGAAGAGTAGGGTGTAGGAAGATTTGGGGGACTGGAAACAATATGATAAAAATATACTGTATGAAATGCTCAAAGAATAAATCACACATACACACACACGAACAGAAGCCAACTTGGTATAAACATTTTCTCACTGAGACTTTCTTCTCAGGGGATTTTAGATTGTGTCAGATTGGCAAGTAAATCTAATATTCCAATGAAAGTGTGATATTTTTTTGCTTTGTTCTCTGAAACTATTGACAAGATCAACTGAAGCTGGAGTTAAATCCTAGAAAAATGACAGTCTCTTGGGAGTGTGATGTTTACCATAAAGAATAGTGACAATATTTGAAGATTTGAAGATTAGAGTAAACTTGGTGTTGTTAGTATAGACACATTGAGTTATTTTCCCAAGGTTCAATATGGCATTAATTCAGTCTCAGCCCTATGACATGTGAAACTCTCTAAATAACATTTTCTTGTTTATATACTTAGATGGGAAAATTAAATTAATACTATATAGAAGAGAGATTAATAATTATAATTATGAAATCTTTATTAAATTTCATATGAGGCCTGTCTCTCTGTCTTAAAAAAATTACTGTAATCATCCTTATCTTGATGATGTCAGATGGTACTGTGCCTGCCCATGCAATAAAACCATAAATATGCTGTTGGCATTATGACATGGCATTAGCCACACAAAGATTAAGCAAATACACACTGTGAGATTTCATAGCAATTGTTCTGATGACTGTGATAGGTTAGCAGCTAATTGGTGTGTGGCTTATACAGCTCGACAAGGAGATATGCCAGATATGAAGACAATGAATGGAATCATAGTTAATGTTATCCATAATGGTGAACAATTTGAAATTTATGACATTTTTGGATTTTTTTTTTAATTGCTACTTTTGGATCACAGTTGAATGCAATTCATGGACAGTTGGAAGTCATGAGAAAGACAAGTATAAACAATTCATCAAATGTCATACTTAAATGTTTATTATGCGATCTGACACCTCATACATTATACTACAGAGCAAATGGAGATGAAATACATTGATGGTTTTATGCTCTTTTGAAGACAGAAACCATTGGAACTTTTTAAAAATCCTGAATATTTGTATGCATTCAGCAAATTGTACAAGCCAGAAAGAGGCACATAGCCAACTTGTAAGGACTAGAATCTGGAATATACTCAACACTTATTTATAGTACTGCTCTAACATAGTAGACAAAGGCATAAAACAGGCAAAGGGAACATGGAAATGTTACCGTGGAAATGTATACACAACAAGTAAGAGAAAAGAATTAATTACATTGAATAAAGTCAGATGGTTTCCAAAATTTCATTTCATTTATTTCACCATAGCATGCTGACATGTGAGAGGATACAGAGTGGGTGATAGTCTGAAATTGATATTCACATACATACCAGAATGGATTAAGTTCCAACCACTGACAGCAATGAATGCTGACCTGGGTATAGAGCAAGGGGGACGTCTTTTGCTGCCGGGACTGAAGATAAGGACAGCATAGTAGGAAAACTATTTGGCACTTTCCTGCAAAGCTAAACATTTTCTTCTCAGACAATTCAGCAGTTTTCCTCCTTGATGTTTACCCAGATGAGCTCAAACTTTATGTGCACATGAAAATATGAACAAAGGATTTATTGAAGTTGTTTTCACAGTTAACAAAATTGTATAAGAATAAACACTTCTTTTAAAGAGTAAGTAGACAAAGTGTTATATTCATGAGAGGGGATCATATCTAGAGATAAAATAGAAACGAGTTATCAAGGAGGGAAAGGAAGACTCTAAAAAGCATTTGGTTAAATGAAGAGGTCATGGTGAAAAGGTATGATACTATATGACTCTGACTACATGATATTCTGGCAAAATAAAGAACCATAAACAAATATGAGCAATAAATACTCAATATTTTCCAGGAGATTGGGAGGTGTACTGAGAGAAGACTGTATGAAAAAATAGATTCCATTTAGCTCAATGAAACTATTTTACATGATATTTGCATTCATGTTTGCATGACTCCATAAAATTGTCAAAACCATAGAAATGCAAAACATGAACACAAACACTTATTGAACTGTGAGTCTATCACAATTGTTCCACTCTTTGTGATAAATGTGTAATATTACTGAAATCTGTTTATAGAGGGACACTATTTTGTGTGTATGTTTGGGGGGATAATGAAGACATCATGTTTATGCTCATTTTTTTTCTGAAAAGTAAAACCGTCCCAAATATAAAGTCAATTAAGCAGCGAGTCACATGGTATAATCAGATACATGGCTTAAGAGCTGCTAACTGAAGTATAGTCAAAAGTAGACAACAGGATGCTGGATCCTTTTGGTGACACATTACATACATGTACAGAGAAGAGTGTCATAATTGGAGATAATGTCTCATGAGTTTTAGATCCACTTTTGAAACAAATTTTTTATTACTGTCGTTTGACTTCTGTTTTGGATTTTTTTCACACTGCTGTCAACGCTCATAGAACTATACCATAATAAGAGTGAATCCCAATAGACCAAGTGTAGACTTTCAGTATAATATCAACATTGGTTCACCAACTGTAAAAGCCAAGTGGAAGAGTGTGTAAAACAAATATTAATATGGCGATCAATATGCTAACACTGGAAAAAGCAAAACAGACTTCCTTTAGTATGTAGAGTTCATTACTGTTCCAACACAATAGAAATGTTTCCCTTTGACTTTCACATGCATTATTCCTGGTTCCCCAAAACAGACAGTTAATTTACTTTAGAGTTTGAGGAATAAAATAATTTTATAGGTTAAGACAGAATACAGAGCCTCAAATTGAACACATTCCTTTGATTTACTTTGTAAGTTAAGCATCTAAGAAAAACTGGATATGAACAGATTTAATTGAGAACAAGACATTGTTAGATGTGATCACTCAAACATGCCAGCTATGAGGAGTTCTATTAGTGGTTTGGTAGATCCAGACTTTGAAGATGCAGCAACTCCATCTCATTATGTGATGAGAGGAATTTTAAGGGCCACACTAATTTGGCAGCTAAGTGCATTCAACAGTTTGTTGAACTAAAAGAGACTCCCCTTGCCAGTGGACAGTGTAATAATGAGTAGTTTTTAAGTAGCTGTAATTGAAGAAAAATGATGCAAAAGGACGGAATGCATATTACATATCACATGTTCTTCTTAGTGTACACAAGCTTGCCCCACACATAAGGACATTTGTCCTCAAGATCTTATCTTGAACAGCATGCCAAACTTTCCATCTCTGACACCATGAAACACTACAACAGCTACTATGGAGGCCTGGACAATGGCTATGGAGGCTTTGGGGGCCTGAGCTGTGGCTATGGCTGTGGGTATGGCAGTTTCCACAGACTGGGCTATGGCTGTGACTTTGGTGGCTGTGGATATGGCTCTGGCTATGGAGGCTATGGGTATTGCTACAGCTGTCCACTTACCTGTGGAGGATATGGGTTCTTCACCTTCTACTGAAAGGCTTGCTTGGGAAACAAACACTTGAGACCATGAGAAGATTAACCCAATCAATCAAATATTGAATGAATATCACTGTGGACTAAGCCAAGAGAATCTGAATAGTTCAAGGTTTTAAGAGCGCTAATCATCTGAACATGTTTATAGACACTCCCTACTTCAATATGTATAGAATAATCTGGTTTAGTTTGCAATAAATTATTCTACTAGAAATCAGCACACACATGTAGTATTTAATCATTTGTTCATGGAAATGATATCTCTGGCTCTTGTTTTATGTTTTTGTTTACTGAATGTTTTCAAATAAATTATTTCATTTCAAAATAGATCCACTCATCAATGTACCCAATCAAGACATTTGAATTCACAAGGATTAGCTGACTTTTCATATTCATAATTCTAGCCTCTTTCTAAAAAAATATATATATATGTATTCTAGCCTCTTTCATAATATATCTTTCATATATATATATGAAAGATATATATATATATCTTTAGTCCAAGTGTTCTTCACCCAGCTATAGTGAACTTCTTTGAGTCCACGTTTTCAGAGTGTATTGTTTTACTGGACTTCATCAGAGTAATGCATTCCAGTGACTCTACTGGAAAATTACACTCTTTGACAGGTAATAACAACAGATATTATTTTCCTAGTTATTAATAGTAATAAGTAAGTAAAATGTGACATCCTAAAACCTACTTGATTTATTTGTAGGTTTGTGGCTTCAGCTTGAATTAATGAGGATAAAATATTCAAATTATCATGTTGTTTATCATTTAGGATAAACAATAAAAATGAAGAACATAGAAAAATACTAATGTGTCATATTAAAAATTCCTGTATGTTGGATGTATGCAAGTGTGTGCTTGAGCATACACACACACACACACACACACACACACACACACACACAAACACACACAAGCGTGCATGCATGGGCATGTATTTACAGGTGAGAGGCAGTATGGAAGCCAGATATCACAAATATGTAGCCGACAGTGACAGATAACAATGATCAAAACCATCACGTGTCCTCTAACACAAATGTAAAAAATAGTCTGGTATTTCACAGATAACAGATATCTTCACAGATAGCAGTGGTAAAATTAAAGGTTATGAAAATTATCTCTATGGGTAAAGACATAGAACAGAGGTCACTTATGTTTATACTCAACCTTGAGGCCATCTGTGAGTCAAGATTAGGCAAACTTTACAGCAACCTTGAGCATTTATACAGATGATTGGTATCTTAGGGATGGTTGAAAATCATTTTCATCTCAATTATCTTTTTGATTCTACCTTTTTACACCTTGCTTATTTTTTGGAGATTTTCAAGACATCTTCAGTGTAAATGGTTGCTGACTTTTACAGTCATTTGTAACAGAATACTCTCAACATCTGAGATCCCAATAAATATTTATTATTTCATGAGGCACCAGTTAGCTATTATCTTGTAAATAAGCATATAATAGGCAAATGGAAGGAAAATAAAAATGATTATGGTGAAAGCAGCTATGTATTACTGTATGATATCATGAATTTTACATGGAAATAAAAAGTCTTGAATGAAAATTGATGGTCCCAGAGAGAAATCTGTAGTACTGAGCACTCAGAGCAACTGATAAAAAGGGCAAAAATGGATCAGAGGATGTGAGATAGTAGTGGCCACAGTGTAGGTGAGGGGACTGTAATCTGTACTTCATGATAATACTTTGGATATCTAATAGACAGGAAAAGAAATCATTATAAAAAAGGTAAATTTTTAATGGTTTGTAATACTGCTTAAAAACAGATCTCTAATTATTTTGAACTGTCTTTCATGTTTAAAAAATTATGCCATGTTTATAGATAAAAAAGTTTTATTTTTCAACAATTATTAAAATAGAGGTTACTGGTTATGAGGAACAACGCTCTAAAATAATAATAAAAGAAGATGAAAATCTGATGAATACATTTCAGCTTTTTCCCTTGAAGTTAACTACTGCTGCACACAGCAGGTTGGCTGATAGCTTCAGAGCTTTTAAATGTTTCCTACCATTTGACAAGAAACCCAATGTGAGGTATAAGATGGTTTTGGAGTGGAATGATAAATTTAATTTAATTATATTATTTCATTTAATAATAAGCAAAGCAGAGTAATTCAAAGAAACCTGGGTATCAAGGGATATGTAATTTCAATATAGTACTACAACTCTGTTATTTGGTTTGTCTATAAACAGCTCTGTTTAGATTTTGAAATAAGAAATTTCTTTCCATGAAAGTGGGTTTCAGAAGCACCATGAACAGAAAGCAGTGAAAACTCACACAATGTGGTGAGTTGGATGGTTCCTTCATGTGTTAGGACTCTGCCAAGCATGAAACATAGAATTACATGAAAATTTGACAGCAAATGAGAAATATTTGATCTCATTGCTTGGTAGGGTATAAAAACATATGTGACCATATTTCAATTGTCACACTAAATATTTTGTCTTGAACAGACCAACTTGCCTCTCTGAACACCATGAACAAGTATGGTAACTACTATTCAGCCTAGATTGCAGCCAGGGAGGCCTCAGAGTCTAGAGCTGTGGCTGTGGTTATGGATACAGAGACACTTGCAGTCTAGGGAGGGGCTGTCATTGTAAAAACTTTGGTTATGAGTCTGGCTATGGAGGCTGCAGATACATGTTGCCACCCTTCATGCCTAGGATATGAAATCTCCAGACTCTTTTAAATTATTTTTATATTCAACATCTGAACAATAAGAGAACTCTCCAAAGATGGAGTCCCTCAGTTCTACAACTGAGTTCATGATGGTGTTACTTGTGCACAAAAATCGAGTATGTCACACAATTTTCAGTTTATAACACCAATGACATCATGATGCCAGAATTATTTAATTTTGTTTGTAACTGATTTGATCTCTCTTCATCTTCTAATAAATCATTCTAATTTGGAAACAAAATATGATTTCTGTTCATAAATTTAATTATGTATGCATGCTGATGAATCTTGACAATTCCATTATCAAGGAGAGAGCCATAGACATACAAATAATAGATAGTTTGGAAGTGAACTAACAGACAGCTTCAGTAAGATCAATAAGCAATATTTTCCTGTTTCTTTCACTAGGTAATACTCATATTCAAGTCAACAAGAAGCAGCTGTCAACATAACTATATATTCATATGTTACACATGTTTTATTACATTGAGAAGTGTTTCTCAACTCATACATTCAGTAACATTGGCCCTTTAAATATAAATCAGTAAAGTATTTTAGATTAAGCCATATCATTAAGCATACTGGGAAAATAAACTACCCATGCAAGAAAAATTTTGAATTCTGTGGTCTCACCCCACTCTTTTGTACATTCTTATTTGATAATTAAATGTGCCATTGATCTATGTTATTAATTAAACAGGGTAGTTTTTCATAAGAGGCTAGTTCACATTTAATTTGCAATTTTTTAGCTACACTTGTTCAGTTGACTGCTTATCTTATTTCACTTCAGCTCCATGACAGGACACCCTTATTTTTAATCCACATCATAGAGAAGCAATTGAAATCCAAACACCTGTCTTTGAGTTCATCCCAGAACTACATTTGGAGCTATCTTGTGGTGCTAAAATATTGTGCACCCTAATAAACTTATTGGGGGTCAGAGACAGAACAGCCACTAGATACAAAGGCTAGAAAATGGTGGCACTCACACCTTTAATCCTAGCACTCCAGAGGTAGAAATCCCTCTGGATCTCTGTGAGTTCAAGGCCACATTGGAAACAGCCAGGCATGGTGACACATGCCTTTAATCCCAGAAAGCAAGCCTTTAATCCCAGGGAGTGGTGGTAGAAAGCAGAAAGGTATATAAGGCGTGAGGATCAGAAACTAGAAGCATTTGGCTGGTTAAGCTTTTAGGTTTTGAGCAGCACAGTTCAGCCAGAACCATTCGGATGTGAGGACACAGAGGCTTCCAGGCTGAAGAAACAAGATCAGCTGAGAAGTTGGCCAGGTGAGATTAGCTGTGGCTTGTTCTGGTTCTCTGACCATCCAGCATTTCACCCCAATAACTGGCCCCGGGTTTGATTTTATTAATAAGACTCTCTAAGATTCATGCTACACTATCTATTATTTTTTGTATGTTTATGAGTTATATGAGAATAAAACTGATCTCTACAATTTCATTATGGATAGCCCATTGACTTTTCTCCCATCACATCACTAGAATGATCTATCCTGCTTGTTTGTTTACCATTGTGCACATCTCGACCAAAATTCACCATTCTGTGAAATCTTCCTAGATTAAACTAAAAACATGCATTAGTTCACAATGAAGTCCTCACTTTCCAAGGTACTGTCTCTGTCCCCTGAGTACAGGTGAATGTTCATACATCACTATATCTAGCTTTGGTATTTTGATGCATGTATTTAATGACTTTCGTTTACTCTTTATCCATAAGCATGTAGGTTTGTACTTACGTGGGTATGTACACAAAGGGGCAGGACACATTTATATATTACTTGCTGCTTCTTTGAAATTGTAAAAATAAATCCAGAGCTGTACCACAGTTGAGCTTGCTTTCATTTGTAATATCTCTTCTAATACGTGCACAGCATTATGCACATAATAACGATAACATGAATGAGTCTTTAGTCATGTGCACACACCTGTCATATTTGCCTCAGCATTCATAAGATTCTTTAAACTTTTCAATGTACTTATTGATGCTGGAGTTAAAAATAACTCATTGAAAGAGCTGGAGAGATGGCTCAGCAGTTACGAGCACTGACTACTCTTCCAGAAGATCCTAGGTTCAATTTCCAGCACTTACATTGCAGCTCACAACTTTCTGTAACTCCAAGATCTGACACTCTCACATATGTGCAGACTAAACACCAGTGCACATAAAATAAAAATAAATTAAAAAATGACTCATTGAGAAAGGGATTTTTTTTCCTACATATTTTCCCCCCAACAAACAGTACAATAAACTTGAGTAAAGCAGCAAAAGAATTT